TATTGTATTTTTCTTTAAAATTTTATTACATTCTGGTATAGTTTATTAGAGATTTTTTTTTCTTTCTTATCTTTCTTAATTTTTCATATTTATAAAGTAACGTAAATTTCTTTTAAACAATAGCGAGAAATAAAATTAAGAAAAGAAAAGCTATTACATATCAGTCATACATATACCGTAAGATTTAATTTATTTTGTAATTACGATTTTATTTTACATAAGATTGTTAGACAACTAAATTTGAAACACACCGAATAACAATTATTATCAAAGATCTTGTTGAAGCAATTAAAAAAAACTAACAACTGAATTTATTTCTATCATAAATATATTATAGTAAAATCATCTATTTATGAGGCAAATAATTTTATTAAAAACTATCAATGTCCAGTACCTATATGATTTTAATTAACAATAGTAAACGATATTAATGATAATTAATAGATTGTTCAAATACCTGTACAATTATATAATAGAATTGTTTTTATTCTTCAATTATTTTTGTTGCTTGGCTTTTGTCGATCGTGGCAAAAATATCCCCGATTTCGGCCACCGTGTATTCCCGACAACTGAAAAAGCGTTTTATATGGGAGATTGGCTAGATTTATTGCGTTTTCAACTTTAACAATGTCCAAGAAAACTTGCCTATCGGTTGTGCGCGACTTTAACCGAGTTCGAGACGAATTCGAGCTGCAGTACGACAGATATATACCTGAGAACTCAATCCATGCGTCGCGCGATTCAGCTTGTCTGAACGAAACTTTGCCGGTTTATTGGTTCACCGTACGAGGATTTCGTGGAGAATAAAATAAATGTACCAGGAATTTGCCATCGCGAAGTGATAAGTCGATCGAATAGATATAATCCGACGGGAGACATTGCGTGTGTCTCTAGACATCACTGGATCAACATTTGCCAACTTCTTCTGATATGCGAATCTCTCAGCACGCGTATATCTCATAGGAAGAAGTCACGATACCGATTCCATCGCATTTATCTATTATTATTTTAGCATGTTTTGAAAATCGTCATCAAATCGAGTGAACAAACTTGAAACAATACTTTTACTAAGAACTTTTAGAAAGTACTGCAATGTTTTGCGATATTGCGATATTGCCGTGCCGGTCGACGTCTTATCGGTATTATCGCGCGCTTCTAACGGCGAATATTCAATGAATGAACGTATCTTTCGCAGCCGTCTGACTAACACGTGTCATATGATAAAAGTTATACCCACTTGAACCCACTACTTGAAGGCACCTCGAGTCACTTTGACGTTAAGCAGCTTAAACGGTCTGATACATCCGTGTACATCGTTCCGTACATCGGATTAGCTACATCTAAGGGATCCCTGTTCCTACGCGCTGGAAATTGGAATCTGTTCTCTATTACTGTACTGACACTCAGACCCGACACAATTTCTCCTACTAGTGAATAGTAAGCACGTGCATGAACAACCTGGAGACAAAGCTACACAACGGAGATCGTGAAACGCGTAATCTTGAACAGAGCGAAGCGCAGTGTTGCATATCTCTGTATAATAATGTTATAGTTATAATGAAAATGCGGCTAACGAAGTTGGACAACAATTATATAATCATAAAAATAGCGTTATGTTTAAAGTAACTCCTATTAGAAATACAGTTCGTGAAATGCGATCACCGTTTTCTCATTGATTTCAAGACGAATTTGATTACTTCATAACGTTGAGAATATTATTACCGTATATTATTAAATACTCAAGTTTTTTTATTCAGATATGAATAACGTAAAACTCATACGGCCAAATTTTGTATGATACATTTTATACTTTTTTAATTACTGAATATCCTCATTCAAGATTTTAATTAGACTCGAAAAAATATCGATTAAGATCCAAATGTATCAGATATTCACAAATCTTGAATTGTTATAAGAACGAAGCCAAAATTAAGGCTTTTTCAGTTAAGAAACTAAGTATTTATTTTTCTTTTCACTACTTTTCTATAAAATAACATGTAATGCAAATTATATATCTGACCGCGTATATAATTATTACCTGTCTTTCGCACAAACGCGTTAATTCAGCACTGTTATTATTGTGAACGTGAGCATAAGTTGGTCGAAGTAATTATCCTAGCAAGTACGCCGACCGACGTTGATACGTAACTGAACTGAGAATTATTCGTGTAATCTACATCATCGTAATGTTCCGCAAACTGAAATCGATTATTTGCCACGTTGAACTTCCATTAGCGCCAGCCGGCTGTGTTTATGTATCTGACAGTTGTAACGCGGGTGCAATTAGATATACATTGAAGCAGCTGAACTTTCTGGGTTTCTGTTAAAATTATCTTTCTACGCAGTGGATGAAAAGTGTCGGAGAACAAAATAAAATAAAGAATGTTCTCTGGATGTTGCGGATATTGCCGCGTTTGCTATCCGTGCATTTTATTTCAAACATTTAAAAATTAGAATCTTGAAAGCCAAATGTATTTAGATTACCGTTGGAAAATTTTAACGCAAAGAACTTAAATTCAATATAAAAGTCAACCATTTAGCAATAAATTCGTATATAAAAATAATTTAAAAAAATTTCTGCCATTATATGTAATCTCTTCTTATAAAAAAAGAAAACAGAAAATTGAAAATTGATTTATATTACTTGCGAAATACAACGATGAATTAACGGTAAGTTCAAGTTTGCATATCGCGTACAAAAAACTTCGAAGAAGCACAGTCGTTTCTTCCTTGCTCCGTACAGAATGCCATCGTAGACTATAGGTATCGATCTAGAACAGCGTAAACACTATGTAGGAGACAGTAGAAAACGAGAGATAGATGCGCCGCTGGGTCACAAAGAAACTAATCTCCAATACAGCGTAATGTAAAGCTGATGGCCTTTCGAGACGGAAAAAAACGACCTGTCGGAATACGGTCAGCGCATCATAAACGGCGATCTTTCAGCAGAACTTGGTCAGACTTTATCGAAACCTCATAAAGGATTTTCGGTAAGACGTGGACGACGTGAAAAAGGTTATTTTAAGTACGACTTGTATGACTCTTGCGTAAAATATGAAATTTAGATTCTTGTTAAGGCAGAAGGCTTTATTTGTAAAAATTTGTCTAATACTTTTAATTTATTTAACCATTATTTAATACGCTTTTTAAATAAGTATTTCTTAATTTTAAAAAATGTGCGAGCTATTTTCTTGATATATTAATCTAGATTAAACATAGAGATAATACGATGAAACATTTGTCTTTATTTGGACATAGCTCTATTTTTTAAAGAAAATAAAATTGTTTGTAATTAAAAAGAGAAAAAGAAGGCGGCGCAGTTTTCTTCTTTGATCGTGTCGGATCAAAAGGAGGTCGTGAAAATTTTCTACGTCTCCTAGTCTTGACAGCGTATTCGAAACGTCAACGACACCTGCTTGGCTATGGCGCCAATGATGTCTAGTAACAGGAATAATAAGGCAATACTGCAAGAACTTCCTTGACGGTGAACGTTCAGAGAAATTTCTGATAGCTGGCAAATTTTTCTCTCGCTCGTGTCAAATCAGCGATTACATTTTTTCTTTAAGTAGCAAAATAATTTTTAACGAAAGTTTAGTAAAATAATATTTAATGAAATAGCACATAGTAAAATTTCGTTTAGTATAGTAAACATTTGCTCCCAGATAAATAATTCTAATTAATATTATAGACAAGTCGAGGCTTATTGAATTATTGATAAATTGATTATATATATTATATTAATTGTGCCATATGGCTGTACTTATGTGATTTATGAACAGTACAAAATTATTTGTGTCGATCGTTTATTCGATGTTCGACATTTCAGAGTTAGTAATGTTGTGACGTTGGTACGAAAATTGGTCGATCGTTTCTCGTGGAGATGATGGTTTGCCTTTGAATGCCCGCTTTATCGCTTCGCAAGGTCGGGTTACGCGTCTTCCTCACATTCGACACATCCATTTTGCCTCCTTGCGATAGAATCGAGACGCGCTTCTATGACTCGGGATGACAGTTCGGCAAGAATGCGCCCGGTCATCGCAATGTGATATAAAATCCGAACGGCCGACCGTGACGAGGAGAATCCATCGGATGAAAGGTGGGCAGTCGTGCTGTGTGACTTATCGATCGAACATCGTCAGGGTGCTGCACTGTCGTCATTTTTTAGAGCGTCTCTTTATACAGATGATGCATCGATGCGCCTTGCAAGTCGATCACTGATATTCACTGTTAAAGAGTAGAGTTTATTATAAATATGTGTAAAAAGAAAGAGAATTAAATACTGTGCGAATTTACGATATTAAAATATCATAAGAGATATACTACAAAGATTATACAAAGACATTACTAACATAAGATATTGCTAAGATATTAAAAGCTTGCTCATAAGAAGAAGAAATTTATTTTACGACTATAAATATAAAGTATATTGTATATTTATATAAATATTTCTAAATAAATATAGATGTTCTCTCGTGTCACAGATGCAACTATTATAAAACCGCTCGTAAGTAACTGGTCGCGTTTTATCAATTATCGATGCTTTTAATCTGGCACCGCTGCACCAGCAATAACACCGTATCTGTGGCTCGCTATCAATTTTTTTCAACTTAATCACGCACCTTTTATTACATCGCGATAGCTTTATCGAGCAGCTCGACGCAACACGTGTAAACTCGCGTAAACGAACGCCCGATGATTAAAACTGTCTCTCTGCCGATTTATTTTTCCCGTATGCCGCAGTTTCATGTGTTTGCGTTTCGCCGTGTTCTGTAAAATTACATTCGCACTTTGTGATGCAAAATCTCCCGCGATATACAATTGCGCGTGAAGAGAAGCAAGTGCAATAATGTTCAATCAGGCGTGTAAACAGAGACATGCACAAGATGTTTCTAAACTTTTCGAATCTTCTTGAGAGAATCTTTAATCGAACATTTAAGTTAAATTGACGCTCTTAGAATTACTATGCTGCTCTTTAACCCAAAATCGCTTTTCTGTTGCAGAAGCGCGAGCTAGAATAATCGGCACGGGGGATATCTACGTGAAGACCGGAAGTCTTCTGACGTTGACGTGTCTCATGTCGCAAGGTCCCCACGATCTGGGAACGGTAGCTTGGTACCGAGGAAGTCAGGCGGTGGTGACATCGCCGCGATCAGAAAATGACATCGAAGCGGAGCCCCGCATAACCGTCGAGACGGAATGGAGCGATGCCCTCACGTCAAGGTACGAATGAATAATTAAGCCTTATCTACTTTTTAAATATAATTAAGCTTAGATTAAAAATATTTTCAATAATGATTATAATAAAATTGCTTTTTCAATATATAACGTGAGAGAAAACGGACAAAGACTTGCCGATGTGATTAATCGTTTTCGTAAACGTTAAATAAATCTCGTTCACTCGCGACAGCGCGTCTCTCTCGCGGCAGCGTGTATTACGATTTATACTTTAAATATCAAAAACTTAGTTAACGTGAAACTCGTTTACGCACGATGGACAAAATGGAAAAAAAAAGCTCGTCATGCTTGTCGCACATTCAGAGTCATCGTTTCCGCACGGGGGAAAACTCTCATAAACGTGCGCATCCGCTTGATATTGTTGTACGAAGTGCTGTTTAATTTTTTACACCGGCTCCAGTCGGGCGAATACGTCGAATAAATAAAAAATAAGGATCACGCACGCCATATATTTGCGGCCGTCACATTTTAACGCGGTTTAAATATTTCAATTTTTGTCACGGCGCGGCGGCGTCGCTACGACGCGTTTTAAAAACTGGATTCTGCAATGCGACCCCGGGCGCGTTTCACCCTGAACGATATGCACGCCAATGCAATTTTGTAAAATTGTTTGGCGAAGGGCTCGCGACACGGTAACACGCTTACGCCGCGCTGAAATCAGCTCGACCGACGAGTCTGCAATAGCTGAAAAACGTCGTGAAGTATTAAAATGTAATATCAATCGTGTTCAGATACTTACTCTTTTTCTTGTGACTTCATCAAGCGTGGTAAATATTCGTCAAGCGCGATTGATTTCAGTCGTCTTTCACCGAAATACTTTTTTTTTTTCTCGACGATTCTTTCATCGAACCGTCCGTCCGTCGCGTGTACAATATTTCATCGCACACGGTGTAACCATATCTTTTTCGAGCTGCCGGCGAAATAAATAAATGGTCCTCCGCTTTATCCCCTCCCGCGCCCAGGGGAAATAATGAGAAATAATGGCGTGCTGGGTTGGGTGGTTGTCCCGCCGGTCCTACACGTCGTCGCGGTTCTTTGAAAAACTGATCCCACGCTCAAATTAATTTATTTCGAGATACCGCGGGGTCTATGGGGTCACCTTAAAAACGCGCGATATGCATACCGCCAAAGCATTTGCTATAGCGACAATGGTGACATGAAAAATTTATTTTTTTTGACCTATAAAATTTACAATTCACGCTCAGTATATGAATGTTAATTCATTCTCAATACTTAAATTAAATATATAAATCTATTTTTATATAATTTTTTAGATTTTTTTATCACATTATATTTTTTGTCACATTAATGCCGTATGATTATTTATATAGCAAGATGTTTAAAGAAATTTAATATTTAAAATAAAACAACGCACATATATTGCAACACACGAAAAATCATCTCCTTACTGTATGCGTACATTTTATTTTTAAAACATGAAAAGAACAATTTAAAATTTTTAAACTTATACATGTAAAAAGATGCACTTTGAGAGACAAGTATCTATATGTATAAATATTAAATATATATATATATAATTATATGTAAGTGCGAAAAAAGCAGTCACTGTGGTTTACGGTTATTGTTTATGTCTCATTTTTCTATTCAGAGTTCGGAATAAAAGTTACCCGGTTGGAATTGTTCGATAGAGACCAGGGATTCGAGATGGTAGACATCGAGACGCCGTGGCGTCGCGTCGCATGACGTCTGATTATTCTAATTGTCTCGGGCAGATCCGAGACAACAGGGTCCTTTGTCACGTGGCCCGCGCACCGTGAAGACGCATCGGACATGCTCCGCATTTCGGACGACCTGGCTGTTCAGCCAGGTCGCTTGTGTCGGTCCGAATATTGCGTTCGCCGTCGCCGTTGTGTCCGCCGCGCGATGTCGCGCGTCCGTTTTTGGACGTGATTGACGATTGTCACGACGATATGCCGTTACACACCGCGTCGGCAAATTTACGGGACCGCGGCCCAAGAAGCGAATTAATTGTCGCGCAGCTGTCGGCCCGCGACTTCCGTCTCATGCTTTCAGTTTCAAATTCGGAACTGTCTGAGAGTCTGTCACCATGAGTGAGACGTTCCCAGCGATGGTGTCGGGAATGTGATACATGTCGATGGTACATTTGGTACATTTTTATGCGCGCCTATATATTTGTTAATGTTATATATATTTAAACGTAAAAAGAAAAGTCTGCCTTCTTTTAAATTCTTCGAAATGAATAAAGTTCACGTTCTTTTTTCAGATCAGTCAAGTTTAAATTTATAGATAGAATAAAACGAAGAGTTTGTATGAACTGTATATTATCCGACAATAACATTCCCACATATTTCCAGAATAGTACATACATTATTCACATTCATAAAAGAGATATTCAAATTTCACGTTAAAGCGAGGAGCTAATCTACGAACCTGATTTTCAATCCTGGAACTTCCGCGCGCATAAATCTTCCGTGCTCCTCGATAACATTAGCGTGTAACCGGATATCGTTTCATTTCGTCGCATCGAGATTACCTTACCTTACCTTCCCACCGCTCGAAAGTGGTGGTTCGCTGTCGAGGAGCTTAGTCCGGCGTCGCTATACGTTTTCATTATCCTCGGACTCCATCAAGTCTGCTGTTATGGCTCGTCGTCGTCGTCGTCGCACCGGCATCGCAATAATTATTTCGCGGGCACATTCAGTTCACGGAACTGTGCGGTAACCGCATACAGGGGACAGCGTTACCGTAGCGGTGGCCTTAAGCGGCGGTTATTGGTCCCACGAGTGCGATGCATTACGACGTTGCGCGATGAAGCTAACTACTGAAATGCGGGAAGTAAATGAGTAATCGATAATCTGTTGGAAGCGGCGCAACCTTCTTCATGTAACGTTATATATCGTGTAACGGATATCCCTGTTGTGTCCACGTATATTCTATACGTACCCGACAAAACTGTGTATCGCTTCTTATCTAAAAACGATAACTTACGGCACGCGAATATTAGAGGTACGCCAATGAGGATAATTATAACGAAAGACGATAACTATTAATATTTATATAATCGACAATCTATAACAATCTATATTGATGACATAATTAAAACTTTTCTAAAACTTTTATGTCTGTGTCTTCTCTCGTGGTCGTTGAGAAAGACGCGTTAAATTAAGTCTTCGCAACTCTTTCTTCCTCGGTTCAAATTGAAAGTTTAACAAAGATAATTATTGAACTTGAAACGATAAAAATGTCGAGCAGCTTTCTATTCGATTAACAAACAGTCGCGGGAGAGAATTTCTTCTTGACGCGCGATGGAATCATTCGGAAGCATATTCGCTTTTCTAACTAGTTTGCCGTTAAATTAGCCGATTGCCGGTTAACTTTTACGTGTCCACTTTATCTCTCGCGCGCGCGTAATTACGTGTTTATCCCTCTCGCGATTAGCGCAACGCGACCGTGCAGGTTTATTAATGCATCTCCGTGTCGAGTCCGGCTGCAATTTTCTCTCTGTATTGCGTTCCACGCGTTCAGACCCATTCAATATTCATATTTGAGGAATAAATTCTCATCGCACTTGCAAAAGCCTTCCGACACACGATACGTTATGAAAATTCGAACCCGTACCGATTTCTATTGATCTGATCAATTCACTTTACTGCGTAACAGTAACGAGCGTCTAACAAACAAAATTGAAAAAAGAATGAAAACCAAAATTTGCTCTTTCCATTTTCCTCGATTATTACCGCTGAATGAGTTGATTAAAGCTTGGTCGAGTGCAATGCGTAAATTCCGAGTGAGAGAACGACTGTTATATGATGTACGATGTGTAGCTATTCAAAATTGATATCTATGCAGACACCTGCGATATGATAAAATGATAGAAATTATAATGATTCTACAGCGTTTATTAAATATTTCAAATAATTATCACTTTATACCAATTTCAAGTTTATATAGTTAGTATCTTTTCTTATTATAAGTTAGAAAATTCAGCAAAGCAGTTACAAATTTCATGATCTTTTTAAGACGATAATATATTAAAATATTATTTTGCTGAGTATAATTCGGCTATCGTTTGGTATATTTTGTATAATGAGTGTGTTCTTGTGAAACACGCAATTTTTATGCATTTATTGCATAATACTTGCATTATATTTGTAAGTATATTGTACGGTTTAATTAATAATACGGAAATATCTCTAGAACGCATTTAGAGATAGTGAAACGTGATAAAATTTGCGTCATGCATATCAGAGATCTTCGGCAAAAATATGTACAATACTATGCAGAGAGGAGAATGGGTAATTGGACCGCTGCAGCTAATAATGTCGTGGATAATTATCACTAAATTAACGATACTTTATTATTAGTTGTGTCTTTAGTCATTTTATATGATCCTGTACTTTATCATACTACTCTGACGAAACTGTACGCTGCTAACGTATGCGACATCAAAACGATTACGTAGAATGCATACACAGCGCGATAACGATCCTGTTGCAAATTTTATGAAGGCTTTTAAATATTCCATGATAACACTAAATTATTTCGTGATATAGGTAGATTATGATATGAGAAAAGCGTAATAGTTTTAGGGCATTATGTATATTAATCTCTTCGGAAATACATTCAGTTCCATTAAAAACAGCGTACTAATGCATTTTCGGATTTATACATGAAAACATTTACGTTTGCAGTTAATTGTATATTTTGTACTTTACATGTGTAAAATAACAAATTAGTTATTACATTGTATTTGTTACTTTACACTTGTCATTTTCTAGAAAATTTCATACCTTTATATCTCGGAAAAATGGCTTCTTTTATAATATACGCGAGACGAAGGAAAATCCTTCACAGAGTAAGCTTCAAAGAGCTACTTCCATGCATATATGGCATCCCTAACGACCGCGAGTAGTAATTTTCTGACTCCGTACACGTCACTCCTCCTTTCATTGTATTCTTTCTCCTTTGATTAAGATTAATACTCCCCGATTTTAATTTAAGTCACATTTTTAATTAAGCTACAGATACGCTACAGATAGGCTGTTTAGCAGAAAGGAAACGAAATGAAAAATGAACCTTTATCTTATAGTTACCTAAAGGCTCAACATTCATTACTAATACAATAAAATGCAAATTTGTTTAGGTACAATGTGAAAACGACTTCATATATACAAGTAGCATTTCTCTTATGACACTAAATGTTGTTTTCTTCAAAAAACGGCATTCTTGTATTGTAGAAACAACGCGATTCTTATTGTTACCTAGAAATTTTCAAATATTACATTTATATTGCATTTACCGTGACCAATTTAATGACGGTTACATAAATCAGATATGCATTATTGTAATGTACACGTTCCACGTACGACGTAGCGATAAACTATATTACCTTTTGTGCGGCAGATTGAGGATCACGCATGCGAAGCCCACTGACTCCGGAAACTACAGTTGCGTTCCTACCGTGGCGGAGAGAGCGAGTGTCAACGTGCACGTGATCAATGGTAAGTCCGTCAGAAATGCCATAACTGATCCACGCGACAAGATAATCCCTGTACATGCGTCGATCACTTATCCCCAGGGTTGCTGCGATACACCCCGCGTCTTTGTTTATCACAGTGCATTAACCCTTTCACGCATGGTATATCCTTTTACTGACGATTTAATCTTCTCGCACGCGTGCGTGCAGAAAATTAAAATATTAAAGCGATACTTCTAGCCGGATCTAGCTCGAAATAAATCTCAATTCTCGATCTCTTAAGTAAATTAAATTCAAGTGCCCGTTGTTCTCTCACATCGAATACAATTTTGATATGCCAATAATCGATTGTGTTCTATTTTACGGGCTCGCGCCCGTATACACACACACACATGTATCTATATACAAAGGTATGTTTTATTTTATTTTATTTTATTTTATTTCTGTTCTACTTTTACTTTTGTTCTAAATAGAAGCTAAACAAAATTATGAATAAAAAATAGCGAAATAGAATACTAAAAAGAGTTTATATTGTTTATAAAATTGAACGTCTATACTTTTCTATCAAATTTGATTGCAATGTAACATGAATCTTAATTATTGTAACAAATATTTTCTCGTATATTTTATTGCATATTTTTAATTATAAATATGCGCAGTTATCAAAATCACCGAAAATTTCATTTTGCTCTGAAAAAATGGGCGATTTAATGAATTATGCATAAATCGTACACACGAAACACATATCGGCTTATTATCTACATAACTGTTGTTTTTCACGAACGTTTTTCCGTTCGTCTTATGATCGTCTGGCGACGTATAAAAATAGTCCGATATCGCCGACAGCATCGTGTTTTCTGGCCGGGTTTACAAAAAAGCGTAATATCCAGCGGGAGAAAGACTCGCGAAGATGAAAGACAGAACGTTTAAAAGGCGTTTTCTGGTGGCCTTATAAGCGATTGAACTCGAATTACAGTCGATTGTGAGAAAACCTCAACCATTCTCGATTCTCGTTAACTGTTTCGTGGCTGGAAAAGTGATAATCAATTAAATTACAAATAAAAAATTATTTTTATCGTGTTACTCTATTTTTCAATGATTTTTCATTTTTTTATAATTAATTCATTTGTATATCTTAACATAATTATCACAGGATTTATATAATTAAACACTTTTTTCAGCTTAAAATAATATCGCGGTTAGTCGCTTCTAAACATTCCGTTTTAGTTTCAAATTAAATAAAGAAAACTTCCGTATTTTATTTAACACTTCATTTTTTCATACTACTGCAATTTCAAGGTTTTTTGCTGTGTTAGTTTTGTTATATAGAGGAAAGAGAAGTATAGAATAAAAGTAGTAAAAACAGATTTCATGAAAAATAATTGCTTTTTTTTAGAATAGGGAACTCTTGTCGAGCTGATCGACGTGAAGTATTGTAAATAGAAATAGGCGTAATAGACGAACGGGAAGATACGCCTGTAATTTACAGGCAAAGCATCGTTGGTATCAGCTACGCTTGATGTACCATTTTACCACCGACCATTATTTTCCTTTTGTTATGCCGGCTCTAGCGAAACGTAATTCAATTCCTCGCCGAGGTTCGACCCATTCGGCGTCCACCCACCTTTTCAGCGGTGGTCTTTTCATCCAACTGAATTCCCGAAGGATACCGTTCCCGAGTTGCATCCCGGAGCACGTACTGTATGCGTAACGGATATTTTTCTGTAACAAGCCTTACCTGCTCGTGATTATTTCGTGGCTCTTATTGTAAATCGGAAGACGAACGGAAATCCTTTACCGGCGAAATTCCGAACGCTAAAATATACTGCTTCGTAAAATTCTGCTTCGCCAGCTTTTAAAGTGGATGATATTAAATAACAGATTGCCAAAGCAATCTTGTCGATTAGCACATCGAGATTGATAATAATATACAACGAGAGCACAAATAATATTGATTGAATATTAGAGAGATAAATGAAATATAGTAGAATATATTTTTAAAATATATTTTTAAAATACCGATTAAACGAGAGATAGGCTATATATATGAGAGATATATATGACATTGCGGACTACATTTTGGGAATCCATTTCCCCTTTTTAAGAATTTTTTATATACGGATTACGAAATTGGAGCAATTAAAAAATATATTTTTAAAATAACTGATTGAACGATAGGCTATATGAGAGATAGATATGACATTGCGGAATACATTTCCCATTTTTAAGAATTTTTTTTACGGATTACGTAATTGGAGCAATTTAATTACATAACGAGATTGTAGAGATATTATTCAGGAATTTTTGATATGTTCTGTTTCGAATGTATTCGCGCGGCTATGCATGGCAATTAGAAATTTACGGTATCACCGAATCGTTCAACAAGCGTATTTCAACGGGCGCGCTCGGGACTGACCAAAACAATGCAACGCGCGTGTTTTACATTAATGCAAGCGTAACTAATGTGCCGACGTCTTTGTTGTACGCGATGCCGGAGATATAATAATAAACCGTTTTACTGCCTAAGCGTAGCTATTTGATTAAACCTGTTTGCAACTTGTAGTTCAACTACAATGACCATTCTCTGCTTTAACAGTTCACAACCAGTTTTGCCCCGAAAAGCAATAGTTTTTTATAAAGGCCAATATAGAGAGACCTTAAAATTCGTACCGTTAAAAAAAAGGTATTTATGTTGCTTGCTTAGGTTAATTAAAACAGACACATTTATGGAATTTTTTGTATCGCTACACACAGAAAAGTACATACTACCTGCAAGTAAATATTACTTGGTCTAAATATTTGATAAGTTTATATATCCGCAAATCTACCATAAAGTCATCACAAGCGTTACTTTTACTTAAAACATATATTCTTAAAACATGTCCTTAGCAAGTCTAGTACTTCAAACAAGAATATTTAATTAATACAAAAATTCCGGTTTACTTACTATATATAGAATAGAGTCTACGGAAGAAAAACATATATTTAAATATATAATATTTTTGAAAGAAGAATAAATTCTTGAGCACAAAATTATGAGCTTTTTTAAGATATACTTGTGCCAAGTATATCTTAAAACTATTATTAAGAAAATATTCTTTTTTGAAGAAAACTATTACTTAAAATAAAATAAAATAAAATAAAATAAGTAATTGCTTTCCCTGGCCATAGAATGATATTTTTCTATGTGTACACTGGCATATTTTTACGAGCTTCTGATTGAATCGCTGGTTTATATATACCGTACATGATATAGCGTACAAGCAATTTTCTAGAAATTCTGCACAGCGTTCTTAGATGCACGTGCGCATTCGATCAGAATCCGACTATTTATAAAAAGAAGTTAGTCCGTTTTTACGTTTGACTTGGCTGTAGTTGGATGGAAATTATGTGCACTCTCGTATTTAGGTACGCCGTCAATCGCATGAAAATTTTTATTGCACGACTTATATCGCACATCGAATGTTTTATGCGATCATGATGGGGTTCGACCTCGTCAATCGATTCGTACTAAAATCGTAATAAAATTATATTCGCTTCTTTTTATCGTAGCTGCAAGTGGAACTTACATGCATTTAAAAGGGCTTATAACTGCAATTAATTAAAATAATGTTTATTCTTTTATCATTTTGATACGTTTTACATTACTTTGCGTATATTAGTTTGATTAAAGTTATATTGAAAAAAATTGGCTTACACGCAATCGATCTCCGATTTCGAATAAATCTAAAAATCTAGATGTATGTACAACAAAAAATGGTATTCGTCTTTGTAACATGTAACATGGTTATCGCAAAATCTAGCTTATTCAAACGTTATTTCAAATGTTAGTGAAAATCTTCAATTTGCAGTTAAAAACCGTCACAGATAAGATATCCATTCGATTCGTTATTTAGAATGTTTGCGATTGGAATTCGGTAAAACACAAACGTAAGTTTTATATCATTTTGCATCGTTATCCAAAATTGCTTTCCTCCCTCCGTTATTCATTACATCGCGCAGATTTGCGCCGAACGCATGTAATGCGCGTTTAATGATTTTTGCGTAAAAGCCCCCCCAACTGCTGCTCAAGGGAATCAGCATGAAATGTCAATTACATGGAAATTGAGGAGGGAGAGAGAACCTATGCCGCGCTGAATAATTCGCAAATTTGTTCGAACGGTTATAAGGTGCGCTCTGAATGCAAACAGTTCGCTGACAGTTCGCGCACATGTCAAGTAATTAGATGCGGCAGACGTGTAGGATGATAGGAAAATCGCGCGCGCGGTTGTTATTATCGCAGCGACGATTTTTCCTCCATCGAACATGATCGATTTTCGATAGAAACGATGTTGCAATCATTGCCGTTGCATTTAAATTTTATTTTTTGTCACTGCACGTATATTGTACACATTTATTAGAGGTAATTGTTAAAAATATAAATATAATAAATTACAATTGAACAGACTTTTTTTCTCTAACGATAGAGAATCCACTTTTTTATCGCGTAAATTTTTCATTTCCTATAATTTCAAGGAAATGTGATACATAAATTTTTAAAATTGCAATTCGATCATTACTGTTTTGTTGTTGATTATTATATAAACTGCAGCTTTGTTTTATGCACACGTAATTGAATTTTTTGACGCACGTGATAAATAACGACGATATCCATCCCCAATGGAATCGCATCAACTTTTCGATCAACTTTTGATGCAGTTGATAATTTTTATCATCGCGTGAAAGTTAATTACTTTACGCAAAACCGATTAAAACGGATTACGTTTTTTACAAAATTCTTTCATTACTCGATGTCGACAGATCAGCGAGTCGACAGATTTACGCTTGTATACCTGTTCGCGCAAAAAAGTTTCCTGCAAACACGATCGTCGATCGAAGATCGCTATTGATCCATCGATAAGTCCATTTGAACGTTGCACGCCAAACCATCGAACGGCTATTTAATGCATCGCTCGTTCCGTTTCGATGATTTCAATATCGATCATCTCGCCTGCGCCAAAAAGAATTTTTACGATACGCGCGTAG